CGCCTTGCCCTTCGCGATCGCGTCCGTTTCGATAAATTCCGCAAGAGTCGGAAAACCCGGCAGTCCTTCAATTTCAAATATGAAAAATCGATTAACGTCCAGCTTCATCGACAACAGACAATTTATTCGCGGTTACGTATCTGCGCGGATTATTTTTCTTATAATCGAGAAAAAGAATGAATATTAACAGGTTCTCCGCATTTTCTGCTATCCGATTCGATGGAAACCGACATTCTCTTAGTAAAAATTTCATTAAGTGTACGCAATCTTTTTCAAACGCTTTGCAACTGTAATTGTTCTTGTTCTCTCACGTCAAAATGCAGTAAAGTTACGTTTACCCAGTTTTGCAAGCTTGACAAGTAATTTACAGAATTTTACTACCTTCCCGCATTTTCAGGTATGTACACTGAGAAAAATGTCCGATTAAATATAATCGGATAGCCCAATTGCATGATAACAAACGGATATATCCGATTAAATTGCATATTTGATGAAAAATGTGATCGGTTTTTCAATCAAATTTCATCGATAACTGCATTTTCTTCGGATAAATTCCATCGGGTGTGTCCATAATTTTGCACTATTTAATTGGTTTATCCGATGAAAATTGTTCTCGATGTACGAAAAATATCGATGCACAAATAGAGATTTATTTATTACTTGAAAAAATCTGAATAAATTAAGCCTTGACAAAGAGACGTGATATCTCATTTCAAATCTATTACTATGCACTTCGCAATGAGACGTGTTTATGTTTGCACAGCTAAGATAAGATAGTCATAATGTTTGTCTAGGTGAACCTGATAATTTAACGGAAAGCGGGAGTTTGTAACCTTTGCTCTATTTCCCTTCACACTCTGTTGCACGATTTTCATATAAATTTTCATCACTTCATATATTCGTATAATTTATATCTTTGCGCGCATAAGCACTTTACGACCGTTACAGTCAAACGGCGTTTACGCTAAGAGAGCTAAAGTTCACGCTAAAGAAGCGAGACTCCATTAAGCTGAAAAATCATTACGCTGGTTTTTCTTGGACAAGGAAAAATATGTAATATTCTTTTATATTTCATAGTTTCGTAACAAACTGTAATATATACACGTACGTAAAAAAAAAAGTAGATAGAAAAGAGAGAGAAGAATGGAAATAATAATGAACTAACAATCAGCGATGTCGATCTCTCGAAGCATCTCCGTATTCACCTAATACCGTATATCACACGATGTAGAACGCAGCCAATATGTCACGCGGACGCTTCTAGCTCACTTCTCACCTAAATAATTCAACATTCGCCGGAGGTCCCGTTGCTACCGAGCAGCGCCGAATAATCCGAGAGGGATGTCATGCGCGTGCACACCTTTTATTTCTGCTGGCTGCCCGTCTTTCTCGTCGCGCGCGAAGAATTTAACGCGACCGAGAAAACCGAGAGTTGGTTTCTCTCTTCCCCCCTCTCTCTCTCTCTCGCTCTCTCTTACTTTTGCCGTGCACCGGCTCGTCCATTTCGAAGAGGATGCCTGAGTAAGTCCGCCGGGGCGCTCAGCGACGGGGGTTTAAGACTGCGGAGTTAAGCTCGGGGCCCGGAACCGGAGAATGTGGTCTTCTCCGGGCCGGGCGTGTAACTACATCATGCCAAGAGTATTCGAAATACTCGGCGATGAAGTATGCCACGGTATCAGAGGTCTGCGGCCTGTAACAAAGCAAGCCCTCCGGGCACCGAGTTTACACACGAGCCCAGGCATCCGCCGCCACCGCCAGCGAGGGAACGAATGCTAATGCAACCCCGAAAACTTTGTCATCGATGCCAACGACCCGTTATGAGACCGATACGCTACCGCGAGGCTAATCGAGTCGACCTGACATCTACGTAAAATCGTAGGAAGATTCTATTTGGGCAGCGAGCTATTACGGCGATTACAAATCACTTGTTACAATCTCAAAAGAGTACACCCGTAACGTTAGTTTCTCAGTTAGTTTCCGGATTGACAAGTAATGTGCTGAGTTGAAAAAAATATACAAAATTCGCACAAAAATGTTATTATTAGGCTATAAAAATCCAGCCTGATCGAAGACGGCATTTCGCGTTATTTAATTGGTATTTTCTTAGTTAACGACTGCTGTCCGGGTTGTAGGCACGCGTCATTTATGTCTGAGATAAAATAACGATAAGATGCAAATAGGAAAAGTGCATGGAACTCTTTGCTTTCATTTTTTTTCTTTTTCTGTGTGAAAGTTAAGATTTTATTTCTCTCTCTCTACTATCTTTCTCTCTCTCTCTCCCTCTCTCCCCCTCCCTCTAGCTAGATTGATTGACCCATTAAAAGGACAAAGGATTTTAATGTGCTATTATGGGCTTAAAATGTATTCGTTAATTTTTTATGACCTAAAATTTTATTCAGCGCCGGAATATCCACCCGTTTCAATTAACCATTTCACTCGGAGTACATTACTTCCTGCCTTACTTTCGTTCTATATATTTTGCATTATATTACGTTTCCATAATATATGTATTGTATTTTGTTTAATAACAATAACATTACTTTCTGGCATATTATAAAATATGCCAGAGGAGATGCGAAAACGAAGATTTGTAAAAATTTATAATTTTATAAGAGGTTGCACGCACCAAAACACATTATAACAAAACAGAAATTTTCATCGCCTAACGCGCACACTTCGAGATTCTCCCGTTGGTGTACGTGATGCGAAATGGAAAACGCTTTAACGACAAAAATCCGGTCGAAATGTACCGAAAGCGCCCGTCATCCCCGCGTAATTCGTATGTACGTATGCGAAGAATTCGCCGAGAAAAATGCAATTCATTGCTGGAACGTGTGCCGGTTTCGATCCCCTCGTCTTCTATCTCATGGCCGAGTGTATCTTTCGTCTAAAGGACGGCCAGCATGGTGGAACAATGCTTTTAACTTTACAGTGCCGTTCGAGTGCGCTCTTTCGACCCCCGGTTATACTACAGGGTCGGTTGTTAACCCGACGCTGAGGGGTTGAGATTTCAGGCAATAAAACCGGCGTGATTCGTCGTCTTTAATTCGACGCAACGGCAACCCCTGCCACATTCAGTCGACGAACGATAATGTAGCCCTTGATCTATGATATTTCGATAGCAACGCTTATTTTTCTTAATTTACGATTGGACACAATGATATTGCTGACACAAATAAAAAGAATTAAATACGTTATTTTTAATTACTCATATTGTATAGTAAACACTAACTAACAATCACGTCAGTATTATAACTTTCCACACAATAATGTAACTGCGAGATTATATTTATATTAGTGATTGGAAAATTATAATATTGATGTAACTATTACTTGGCGTTTATAAGATATCATATTAATGTCACCAGATGTATTATTCAGCACATTTTCTGTCATAAAAATTGTACTCTATCGTAAATTCTTCTTTTCTATATTTATATCATGCTTATATGTATATTCTATATAAATCTATTTAAATTATCTCCCTTTAGTTGTAATCGGCGTGTGATATTTCCATTTTCAAATTGTTATAAATATGTAGCGCATATACACATTAAAAATTAAAACAGTGGTCAAAGAGCACAGGTTCAAATTTAATGTAAATTGCCGTCGAAGTCTAATCTAAAAGGTGAATTATTAAAAAAGGATTAGCAGGTGGCCCTTGCGACTAGAGTCACAGACGGTAGGAAAATTCAGTGTACGAAAGCAGATCATGGTGCGTTCAAATTGTGCAACATAAGTTCTTGCATATTAACTTGGGCAGATTTTTTAGTTAATGTAAATATGCGCTCGTTACCGTCGGCATATATGCATAACGTCTTTAATATCTTGAATTTAGAGTAGCAATGCTTTCTGCAATTAGACACCGTGTTCGCGGAACAATGTAATATTCGCAGAGTACCCCGTACAGACGTTGGAATATAATATCTTTCCCTAGTTCGCTGTTTTAATATCAGACGAAATAAAAATCATTTACATTGTATAATATATACGTGTGTGCGTGTATCAGGGACAGCGAAATTAGCATATTAAGTAACAATGAAGATTAGCTTTATTCAAGTGATCCAAATGAGAAGATAACGGTTCGATATCGTTACGTAGTTCAAAAAGTGATTGATTACTTAATTATTTCAATGTCAAGAAGTCAATTTTAACAGTCGGTTTAAAATTTTTTCTGGCAAGTTCTACGTCACGTTACAGAATAAAATTATAAACGCAAATCATTTCTAAAATTAAACTGTTGCGGAGGATTGTCATTTTCCATATTAATGTCAAAAGATTTGCAGATCTACAATATGAGAATAGGAATTTTGTTGGCTACATATTAATATACAAAACACATTGTTAGATAATTGGACGTATGTTCAACAAATTATCTAACAATGCGTTTTGTATATTAATATGTAGCCAACAAAATTCCTATTCTCATATTGTAGATATAAAGCCCGGCTTAGAATCTAATTAAAATACAACCGTTCATATGTAATTATCGCTGATGCGCTATTATGCGTTAACAAAATTATAATCTATTATTTCCGTACAAATTTAGAAAGTGCTACACCCCGAGTTCTGTTGATGTCACATCCCAGAAATATATTATTAAAAATTGTTTAAGCTTCTTAAATATCCTAAGAATAAGTATGGGAGTGTCTTTTTAGAGCCAATCGGTAGCTTTTTATATGGGAAGGACCTATGCAGTCTTAGCAGAGGAAATGGTTTACTCGGGATGTAACAAAAGAAGGAAATGTTCATTGAGCATAAGTTTTTAAATACACACAAATTAATCGTATTATTATCAACATTTCAGCAGACTATGCTCAAAGAAAATGCATCGTTTAGTACACGCGTAGTCGGCGTGCAAAACGTGAAAAAGCTGTTTGCATAAAAAAGCAGATATGCATTTATACTGCAGAGTTCAATGCGATAATTCCTGAATGGATTCGAGTGGAGTTGGTCTCTCCTACCAGCGCGACCGGATACACGGTATAAAGCCGGCGACAATTGACCCTGACGAACAGTATGAGATAATTCCGCAGCGCGCCACACTCGCTTTCACAGTGTCGAGTTTTCAAAATACACAGCGCTAGTCTCTTATATAACGCGAACCTCTTGACTTGTCGATAAAGCGCTGTATCACTCTTGTTTAACGTTTTATAGTTATCAGTTGTTAATACTTCGCGCGCGCAGTTTTGTGACAGAAAGACCTGCAGAAATCATCGCGACGTTATCAAGGAAACGGTTCGAGCGATAAATTTTCTTGTTGTGTAAAAACACAAACGTATCCGCGTGACTCTCAAGACTAGCAAGAGTTTGGCAACTGGTAAGAAAATCATGCGCTAATTATTGTTTTATTCTCGCGCGGAAATAATTTCATAACGATAAATTTATTAAGCATGAAACAACGAAAGATTAAGTACACAAATGTCAAGTATCCAGACATTATTTTCCAAGTGTAAATCACAAGATTTATATAAATCTTGTATAATATAGCAAATTAAATACCTATAAAATATAATTTCTAAATAATTAAAACATATCATATGTTAATCTGATATTTACTATTGCGGCAGCAATAATTACGTAGCTTTCTGCTATAATCGAACCAAAGAATTTCTGAGCCAAACTTTGTCAGTTACGTTTATGTTTTATTTTATTTTATTTGTTAATAAATTTTGTGTACTTAAAACTGGACAGAAAATATTTGTCATCTTTTCTGAAATGTTTCATATTTGTATTTAACATCTCAACCGTCCTAATTATAGGACGAAACTAAACATCCTACATTTTCCTCATTTGTTTATGTTCACAGTTTTATTTCCATATTTATTTATAGATTTATCTTTATTCACACTAAGCGCGCAATGCGTGGCGTGACTCGCAAAAATAGATCTATCCATACTGTTGTTCAGTAAAGCATCACGAGACGTCTACTTCGATTGGTTAACAAATTAATATTATCTGAAGCATAGTAAAGTTTCAAGACGTAACGAGATGCCTTTTAAAATATGTATCTTAATGCAACTTTTGATATTTTTAAAGTTTTCAGCGGTTTAAAATAAAACATTCAGCGGCCAGTTCATGTCAAAGCATATTTACCACTGATCTTTGCACATAATTAGACAGAATTTTACATAGCGTATAATTCTTATGACAAAAGTTTCGTCAAGTAGTTTTTCTTGCGTTTATATAATACCCGAAGATTTGTTTTACGAGAAAGTAAAGATTTTTTTGTAAGAAAAAGAAAACTGCGGTGACATATTTTCTCCCTTTTAAGATTATAAAAAGCACGGCTTCTTTGAGGACATTTTAAACACAGATAAAATTCTATGTTATACGTGACACTTTACACGTTAAGCGACAATAATACGTACACAACTGCATGACTTTTTGTTTCTTAAAGAGATCAAAATATCGCGTATGGAAATTTAAATAAATTTATACGCCCTTTCTTCTCTTTTACATCAAGTTTCATTTTTTGCACTTAGTTGTCTTGTAATAGCATTATCTTCCTCTTTTTATTTCCGTCCTGTGTTTTTGATTCAGAGATAAAAGTCCTTTAAATAGATTTCAAATATTTAACTTGCCGGTTGATAAAGACCGGGAAACACATGATATTGAAGTCAGAGATATTCTATGTAGTGACTGGTCACTGGTATAAGATACTTTTATCATGAAATACCTACATGAAACCAAAAGCAGAGATTTTTCTATATATTTCAAATCTCGAATTTTCTTTATTTTAGTCATTGCGTATCTTTTTACTAAACACTTAATCTCTCATTCTTAAATTTTGCTTTTTTTTCACTCAATAAAAGACAATGCAACATATTTGACAATTTCAAATAAATATTTTGATTACATTTTTTTCAGAAATATTGTATATGACAGTTAAAAAAATATTTTTTTTAGAGAACGAATTTTGAAATAAAAATATTATGACACGCCATTCATTTCACTATTAGAAAATTCATAATAAAATTGCTTTCTCATCAAATATTCTACGTTTAGCTATAATAAAAATAATTTTTCTTATATTATCTTTAACACAATGAAACTATAGGTTTTCTGTTTTCTATTCTGTGCGTGCTGCCTGATGTATGACACAACGCACATGATATTGAATATTTTTTCTCGATTTTCTTCTTTCACGATTCATAGAAACGTAGAAGAGTGATATAGCCTATGTTTCTCTCTCACTCCCGGAAATTTGACAAACCCTTATGGCCAGTCTCTGATTACAGGGTCTCTATCGAAACCAAGGATATGACATTTTGTATCTAGTCGTACTTTAAGAGAGATTAAAGTTTAAAGATATTGTAGAATTTCTAAAATAGACTAAACATAAAATGTAGAAGCTTTGATTTCTTGAACAAGTTTTATGGCATGAAAATTTTATTGCCCTGCTTATGTTACTTATGTTACTCTATACATTCATGTTTCATAAAAACCAAGAAATAAAAAATATTACTTTTTAACCGTCCGACTTTATGAAAAATTGTTCATATTAATTAATTATAACGTTCGCGGATTAAAGCACTTTCTTATAAAAAAGACGGAAAAGAACTATTTCAAATTTATGGCACATTTGTTTCTGCAAATATTACTCAATTATTATTTTTGTTCGCCTATTCTAAATTCTAATTTATTCAAATGATTCATAAATAGCTGATTTATTTTTGTCTATTCAACAGAATAATTTTTTATAATTTGACTAAAATAGATGTAACGTTAATACTTTATATGTGCGTTTCATTGAAATTTATAATATTCATAGTAAACTCATTATGATTCGAACGGATAAAAATCGAATTCTGCAAATCAGCATTCATTGTTTAATCACTGCTATTCAATGAATACTAATATGTATCAATTGAGTTGTAGATGCGTGAACACCAATATCCCAGCAGCTTGAATACATTTTTCGTAAAGTAGACAGGGATACGTATCCATCACTAGATTTCACCAAGATACGCAGGTCGTGTATTGACATTTTTCTGATTATCTGACGTACGCACGAACATTATTCATCGGAATAAAAGCACGGTGTAATTATCGACTCTGAAAACGTCGCATTGTCGACGTACGCCTCGGAGCGAGAACGGACGAGCACTCGCATAATGCGATTACAAAATTTCACCTGACAAGGTTCTCCCATCTCGCCAGAATGCACTTCGCATAAGTACAACGATTTCGTACTCGAAAAACACTTCTCGCTTTCAGTCATAATTTTCGAACATCGTGTCGCCGCTCGCGTTCTCCGAGTAATCGCGTGAAAGACAGATTGAAAATATCCCTTAATCAAACAAACGCGAGAACGATCGCCATCCCCGCCTTATGTCTGGCTTTTCAATAAGGGGGGGGGGGGGGTGGGTAAAATTTTTCAATAGTCCGTAGAAAGAGAGATATGAGTCTTGAAAACGTGGTGAAATTTTTTGCGATAAAAAGACTCTAAAATAAATTGCGCGGCTTAAACGAGCTACAATAAATTCTCGCTGAGAAATTACATATTAATGAACGGTTGTTCTCCCCCTGATTACTTATACTTTACATACAGAAAATAAATGTGCCAGTTAATTAATCGCACAATTATATTGCGCTTACTTTAGTGTCTATAAATTATGTACTCGTTTTCTATTACAAACCCCTTATCGTGGCCTTTCTTGGCCAAAATATACAAAATGCATAATTTAACTACACGTGGTTGTTACACGAGAGAAAAATATATTCAGGCGATTACCAAGCAAATATACATTACGTGTTAAATGCGCATTATCTAGTTGCTTCGTAATGAATATTTATACGTCTTAATCAATTAAAGTCTCATCGTATTAATCAGAGATCGCATCAAATGATTGCCATCGATCTCGTTCAAAGTCCATTAACGTTTCAATCTTTCTGTTAAGGCAGGATACCACCTTTGACTGCGATTTTGGAGGCGTTTTTCATGAATTCTTTTTTGCATACAAAGAGTGCGCAGAAACAAAATCGGTTTTAGTCATTTATTAATGTAACTTTAATCTGTAATTACAAACTGAAAAAGTTTCAAAAATAATCTCTTGTAGGTGGCGCCAAAATACATTCCTTTGGAGGAACACCGTTAGACGGCGTGTCAAATTCCGCTCTGTACGTGGCTCCTAGAAAAAAACCAAAGAATGTTCCTATTAACAACAATATTTTTTTAATGCTGTACGTAGGGATTTTACGAAATTTCGATTTTTAAGAAAATGGCGGTCATTTTAACAAAAAGGTTTACCCTAAAAAATTGACCTTGAAGCTAGGGAAGTAATTAATATTTTCGAACTTGCTGTCCGGATTGTTTTTCTGAGTTTACAACTACAACTAAAATATGCAGTGCGTTCTATGTACCTCGGATATCAAATGCCGTCAATATTTTGCGTCATTAGCGCTTTCTCAATCATCTGAGCATCCAAAGCGATCTCATCGCTCTTCGCCGTTCGTGAAAGATAATTATGCGCAAACATCGGACAGGTAAACGCAATCGTGCCAAAGTAAAGCGGATTGTTAACGCCGGCGACAGAAAATCGCGTGGACCTCTTCAAACATTTGCGAATCCCCGCGAGAAATCGATCGAGTTGGTACGTGACAATGCAAATCGATGATATTACATCGCCGGCGAGACGATATTTTTCACCGCGGAATTATTATTAATATCCGACGGAAAAAAATGACTGGGTAACGAAAATTTAACGATATTATGCAAAATCTAGTACAGAGTAGCTCTTAGCTCATGAATGTAAATGGTGCTGCAAAATCATGTAATATAGTTGCAAAATATCAAGGGCGTTACACGAATGTTACTTATTGCTATTACTTAATAACCGATGCTAATTTCCAATTCGTTATTATTAATATTAGCAATACATTGCGTCATTTTGTGACCACAAAGTGAGTAAAAAAAAAATCGCGCGCCACGCGAGGAAAATAATTCGTCGCGACTTATTCTTTTTACAAATGAACCTTTCCTCGTGCCATTTTTTTCAAGTGCCAAGATGAGAGCTAAAGGCTCGCCTTTGTACGCCCTTCCAGCTGCTACTTGCAACGGCATTTCTGGGTAATCGAAAAATCAACCCGCCTTATGATTCCGCGTTAGAAATAATGATCCCAGTTATGGTTTTCGTGCGAACTGAATTCCACATTGACAAAGCTGGACGAGCCGGAAAGCGGTAGCGCGCGCGTAACGTTTCTGCACGCAAACCGGTTCTGCAGAGGAACCAATTCTGCAAAACGTCACGGCGATTATTATAAAAGGGGCCCCCATTATAATATGTCGTAGTGTCAGCGCAAAGTACTGCCGAGTTA